CAGTGATGGGGAGGGGGCTTTCTGGCCCCTCCTTTTTTTTCATATCTAATATTTTTACATGCTGCTAGTGAGAGAACCTGTTGTTAAAATATTTGAATCCCACCACTGTATATATATCTATATATATTCATTATTATTATTTTATTGACCTTTCAACCTGCCTGACTAACATTACAGAAGTTGCAATTATGTGGTCAATGTACACTCCTGTTACCATATCCAAGAATATAAAACTGGCCTTTACAAAGTAATCTGTCTTGGCTGTGTAGTAGTGGACTAGTATTTTGTAAAATATAGTCACATTACATATGTATTTACATTATTACTATTTACAAATACGTTCTTAAATTTCAATTATTTTTCTTAAAACATAGAACATAAATAAAGAAGTATAGAAAACAATTATCTCTTCTAGGTACGAATTTTGTACTCGGTTGCTGCTTGCTTTAAGTTGCTAAGCCTTATCAAATTTTGCACATGGAGGATGTAAAACAAATAATTTTTTTAGGTTTTATATATGCATTTTGAAAGTAATAAAAAAAAATCATAAATTACTATACCAATACCACAGAATTCTACTGTAATTTAGCAGGCTTAGTAACTAGTTGTATTTGGGTCTAAAAAAATATGATATTTCAAGCTCCATTATGACTTACCTCTCTGCTTTGATTCTACCATGAAAAGGAAGGTGTCCTGCATAAACACTTTGCAAAGGTTGAGGAAACCAAGTGGGGGACATTCTGAGCTTTCGATCAAAGTAGGTGTACATAAGCAAGTTTTTCCAAAAATTGAAGAGGTGGGTGGGGCCATCTTGTTTCATTCACTAAATATAATGATATCTCAGAAAATAGAAAAGATAGGAGGTTCTTATTTTATTGTATTGGGAATTTGGGTTTCTAATTTGTAAGAAACTATGAACTTTGTATTTGAACCAAAGCTGCATTCAACATACAATTTGATACTAAACTTATTGACATACATTCATAAAATAGTAGTTAAATAAAATTCTGAATGTAAGTCTACAAGTGTGATGACATGCTCTTTGACCCTTACCTGTAGCAAAAGGGTTAAAAATCCTCCAACTCTTTCGCTAGTGATTAGGTGGATTACACCAACCAACTGATCACCATTGGAGTTTCTACACTATTAAAATGTTTTATCTTAAAATTTGTCTTAAAATTTATCCATGAATATATGGAATCAGAGTGTTGACTGTTCTGAGTGCAAAACAATTTTCATATTAACATTAAAAATACTTTCTTCATTTGCATAATTTCTAAAAACCTCTTACATATCAAACTTTTTTTTCAGAAAAACTATTTTATATGTTATTTTCTCAAGCTAACTCTATGGATCTGTGAATTTTACCAACCTCATATCCACCATAAAATTTAAAAGGTTGAAAAATGTGAAATATGGTTTTATCTTTTTTAGTATTGACCATGAAGTTCCAAAGTACTTCTCCTGAGAGTTTCTACTTCTAACCTTTTCAGATCTATTTCCTATGTTTATTTTATTTTAGTAGCTAAAGTAGAAGCTTGCCAAACACGAAGCAATGAATCACTCCTCCTCCATTAGACTATTTATGTGACACTGTAATAGGACATTGTCGATAGCAAATAAGCTCATGTGGCACAATTTTTGTAATCCTGGTTCTGAGAACACAGTGGGAGAGGATTTATTGGCTTGTTTATAGTATAGTGGTTGCAGTTAGAATTGTCTAAAGTAATAAAAGTGCAAGAAAATGTTTATGATATGGTACTGTACAAAGTCCTGGTCAATCCAATAAACTTGGTAGGTATTTGGATGTTAGTTACCCTTCTGGGTACATTACTACTAATTACTCATAAATGCTTAATTTTTAGTTATTTGTCTTAAAACATAATACATGAAAAATTATATAGAAAACTGATTTCTAGTACTTACTATATTACAAAATTTATTTGTACTTGTGTGTCGTACTTGCTAATCCTCATTTATCCTCTCGAGTGGAAGGGGAAGACACTTTTGTAGATTTCAAAGGTGTATTTTAGAAACTAAAAAAATATCAAATTACTGTAAAAGCTACTGTAATTTATCTGGCTTTTTAACTATCATAGCAGCAATTTTTATTTGATAGACTTCATCTCCCGTCAATTATAAGTTTCCCCTTCAAGCCAATTACAAATGACTGTCGGATTTATGTAGCTTGAAATATGCTCTTTCTGTTGATTATAACAGAGTGCATATGTATCCTTGAAAGTCCTTGAAATTGAGAATGAAATTTGAAGTGCTTGAAAAGGAGCCTCTCTCTCTCTCTCTTCTTCTTCTTCTTCTTCTTCTTCTTCTTTTTTTTTTTTTTTTTTTTTTTTTTTTTTTTTTTTTTTTTTTTTTTTTTTTTTTGTACTTAAATACTTTAACAGTAGAATATGTTGATGTGGAGTTGAGTGCAATAAATAGTCTCCTTTTTAGTCTACATTTATTTATGTTGAACAGATAAATAGGAATTTTATAAAACTTCTGTAGAATCTGATTGATTTTGATGTAGATTTTAGCTTCCAAAAAGTGCTTGAAATCGGCCTGAGCAACTCAGTATAAACCATGATTATAAGTAGGTGTGAATAGACAAGAGGTTTTAAAAGAAAGGAATAGTGAGTGAGGGTACCCTCGTAGGTTTGCAAAACATATTGATATCTCAGCAAATCAAGAAGGTAGGAGGTTCTTATTTTATATTCTAGCTTGTAAATATCTGAAATTTGAATTTCTAATTTGTTAAACACTATAGACATCATATGGTAGGCATATTAAAACATAAGCTGAGCAATATGACACAAAAAAAAGCATATTTGGCATTTATTTTAAATATCTTCTTTCAAATTAAGAAATTAAAACATATGTTAAAGAGGCCAATATTCATGGGCAAATGCAACATGTACTGATCCCAACATGGCCAATTTTGACACCAGAAAAATTTAAAACTGTCCATATCACTGCTTGGGATCTGCATGTAAGTTAGTTCATGAAAACCTTAAATTGTGCTTTCCTCACTGAAAAACTTAGCAAAAGACAAAAATTACAAAATTGTCTACCTATAATTGGTACAAGTAAAGAATTACCTCTGTACTAAATTCCATGTAAATTTATTGAAACAAAGTTAATTAATTAACAAAATCCCCTAAAATGGGCATATCCCACAGTTTTTGTATGTATATGTATGGGACCTTAAAGAAAGTATCTGAACCAAACTGGCCGAAATATGGTGGAGTAATTGTAAAAAAAAAACCAACTAAAATTATGCTTTTTGTGGCATCTTGGTAAAGATTGGTAAGTCCACCATTTTTTTGTCAGTGCGTAGGACCTGTAGAAAAGTATCTTTGTACCAAATTTCATGGAATCTGAGTAATTGACCACAAAACCCAAAATTATACTTTTTTTGTGAGCTCTTAACCCCCTAAAACGAGTAAAAATGGGCAAATACAACTTTTTTTTATGTCAATATGTTGGGTGCATGAAAATTTATATTTATGCCAATTTTCATCTTGATTTCTGTAAATATGACTGCACAGGAGCCCAAAATATACATTTTTGGGTTGTGTGACCACATAAAATCTTTAAAAAGGCTTTAAAAAAATGACTGGGCATATTGGACTAGGGTATAACCATACCAAGTATCAAGTCAATCTTCCAAGAAATGAAGGAATGGTGATCGATTGAAAAGTGTTTGGAAGTAGAAGAAACAATACAAAAACAGTATGTTTGTTTACAGAAACGTAATTAAAAGCTGAATGACGAACTACATTTTAATGCCAATTTTATTGACATGCAATGATAATACTCGTTTTATTAAATTTTGGAAATAAATAAAAGGTCGTGACATGTACCCTTTGACCTGTCCAATGAGAGAGGGTTAAGAGTATAGGCAAACCCATCAAGTGCTTATAATATTTAAGTTAGATGTAAAACAAAGTAGAAAGCATGGATTGATTAGTTCAAAGGTTACATTCTCCTATGTGCACTAAAATAAAAATCATAAGGTTCCAATCGGATAAAGCCATCTATAATTCAACACGGTATATTTAATTAGCTATACTCACTATTGATCATATGTCTTAGTATAAACTTTAATGAGTTGCAAGTATGTGCACATATTTATTTAATTTCACTTAAATCCTACTCAAATTCATCTTATTGTAACTACCAATAACCTATGTATCAAATGTTTTGATTCACATTAAAACTAGTCTGAAGCACTTTGTATAACATTGCAAAGTTATACAAAACTTACTATTACACCTTGAAGTTCAATATTCTAAATTGTTAAGAGTTGATTTTAAATGTTTAATTTCCAGTTCTTCAATTCTTGATGTATGATTGTGACAGATTTATTATTATATTTTTATTTTAATATCAACATTTGTTTAGATTAAGTTTATATTTAGAAACATACATAGCTTATAGTGTTAGATATGTATTGCGAAATTCCCGCCTAGTCTATAAAGCTGTAGAAGATTCTCGAGTGTAAGAATCAGTAATATATGTGTGTGTACGTAAATGCTAGTGTTAGCATCAGTATTGTTACGTAAAGCTGACAATTTAAGAAAGCCTCCACACAGCTATAAATATAACCAACATGGCATGCCAAAAAAAAGAGTATCTATTATTGGGTTGCTGTAATTGGTGTGCTATAAACTCTGTAAGCTCCAACTGTGATTAACACTTATTAATCAGGAAACTTCAGATATTTGACCAGGAACGTTTATAAATTTCGAACATTACAAACCATTTAACTTCAGTGGATTCACATCAGACATTAGTATTTTTACGAAAACATTACCTAACGTCATCGGTGGAAACTCGGCATGTGATCAGCGAGAACTACAGGGCTAGCTAGCTCCCTATTAAGTGAATTGTACCTACATCAACTCGAAATTAACTTGCTCATCGTAAACCCTTGATAAGACATCAAGGAAGTTGCAAACTAGAAAGAAGACTTTATATTGCTTGTAAGTTTTGTAAAACTTTTGTACATAAATCATTGTTTGTAATAACTGTTATTGTAAATTCTATTAAAATGTATTTGTATTAAAAAAACCATTTGTATCAATGTTATTGGTAAATATAAATTGGAGATGGATTGGCATTTATTTAATTACTAAATCTAAATTACAATTTAACTCAGCTTTAGGCTATTAGAAAATGTAATACATAACGTAATAATGATACATCTATAGTTAAGACAAAGAACATTAAGGATTAAAACAGCTGCTAATTTAATATCTGAAATGAACTTTCAATTATAAATGGCTTACAAGTTACAATTCTGTTGATGCTTTCAACTTATATAATATAACAGAGTAGTTTGATTGACATCTTTGTTTTAAAATAAAAAGATTTTCAAACATTATTAAACACATTTTGAAATATTTTCTTCAGTGTCACTGTTATTGTTCTATTCCAAGTATGACACTAATAGTAATACTACTATTTGGGAATATCCATTGGTTATTATGAAGAATAATTTTGTCTTATGATGCTCTTTAAAGCATGAATAACATTCCTGATAAAAATAAACAAACTAGACATTGTATAACAATTTATCATTAAAAGTGCAGTATCCAATAAAGGCCCTTTGCACATTAAACAAAATCCCACAGAAGCTTAGAAATAAAAGTTGTTACAAGTAGGAGTATAGTATCATTTCTTGAAACTGGAAGATGCTACTGTATTTTGAATTTTGTTAAATGATTTTGATTGTTACATTCTTGCTTTCCAAAAAAAATGCAGAAGCCACTAATAATAAAAAGTAATATTCATACACTACTTCCTCTTCTTATTTATACCATCTGTAATTGTAGACAAGAAACCTTTAAAGGAAATAAATTTAAACGTATAATAACAATGAAATTAGTTCAAGTAGTATCAGTTCCTTAGCGAAGTCTAAAAAATTATGATGGACTTTCTGTAAAGTCCTGAATTTTCGTTATTTTCTGGTCGTATAGTGTATATGTTGGAGATAAATACGATATAGTGTCTTTGTATTAGGAACCATTAGTATAATGGTTACATTCATAGTCGTTAGGTGTCAATTTATCAACTGGAACTACAGCAACTGTGGGCACTGTCACCTTAGTCACAATTGGCTAGAATTGAATTTATACCATAAATACACTTGAGCATATAGGTCAGTGCATAATTGTGCGAGTTATTTCACTTTTTAATTGATTTGTTTAGTCTTGAATTTAAATAATATCAAATTTATTCATCTGTAAAATGCCAAAATACAAGTCATCCTTTCAAGAGCAGTGGCTAACCAATGAGATATTTTCAGAATGACTGGAGGTGGATAAGAATAATGAAAGCAGAGCACGATGTAAATTGTTTGACATTTGCTGTGCTAAGCCATGCTGAAGGAACAGCACACTTGGAGTTTGTGAAGAGCCTAAAACAGGCCAAAGGGTTGTATTTTTTTGTTGCCTCATATGTTCCTTCGATGAGGGTTCAACAAACAAAACTTCAGTATAACGTTGCAAGCTATTTGACTACAACTGGACTTAGCATAAGCTCAAGTAAGCCTATATAAAGTATAATACAAGTCGAGTTGGTACATGAATTTCAATCAATATTGTGTTCAAATTCTATAGCCAGCTTTGTCTCACAAAACACGCTTGATAGTGAAATATTGTGGGTCTTCAAGATATTTTCTTCTCACTATAGCTACAGTTCTTCTTGTGACATTTCATCACTGTTCAGATGAATATTCTCTGACAGCACCATTACAACAAAATTTGCCTGTGGGGGAAAGGAAAGCTGCATACATATCATTGTTTGGCAGCACTCTGTATGTCAAGATTGTACTGGAGTGGCAAGTAATCAGCCAATTATGCAACAAAGAACAAACAGATGGATGTTCAGATTCGTTTCTGGGATGTCAATAGTCAGGTGAGTGCACACTAGTTAAAGGTGATGGGTCTATGAAAAACTATTAATGAAATGAATATCATGATTTTTAGATGATACTTTCACAGTTGAAACATATATACAGCAAAATAATTTAATGTAGTTTAAAATGCCACATTGTTTATTCGTGTGAAACAGATGAATAACTGTTCAAAACCTAAAAAATGAGACACACTCTTTTGGAAATACCTAGATAATTTCATAATTGTACCAACAGTGGCATCTTAAAAATACTTGTCAAACTTCTTACTGCTTCATATCCCAATATCAGCTAATATGCAATCCATGAGTAACATTTAGTTCCATTTTTGGAAGGGGTAATACTGTAGATATATCAGCTTCAATATTTATAATTTTTGTTTTCAAAATGCTTGGTTCCCTTTTGTATAAGTTATTTAAAATTAATATGCCAAACATTTCTCGTTATAAATCAAAATTCAAGATAAGATATTCATTTTGGTTTAAAAGATTAAAGGTTAACCAAGCATTTTGTGCATTGCAGTTTATAACTCGATATTATGTAGAGTTTATGGGATATATATGCAGATTCATTAAAATACTGGAATATTTTAGTCATGTAACATCAAAGCTGTTTTTGCACAAGTGTCCATAGACAAACCAAATGTCAATTCGAAGTTCCATGAATTGCTACATTCCAAGATGATGGCAGAACATGAAAGCACAATGCTGAGTGTCAAATCATCTGAGCTACATGTTATCCATGGAGCATTTCATCATGGCACTAAAGCAACTGGTTAGAAGCTAGATGGGTAGTTTTTCAAGTCTGTACTATTTATGTAAGGACATCTCTATGCATCTCAAACACTTAAAGAATGCCACAGTCAGCAACAAGTTTTCAATGAAATTTTTCAGTCACTACTGGGTGGAAAATGTTGCTATGGTAGAGAGTGTTTGACATATGCACCAACATATGAATATGTAAAAAAGGGCTAAGAAATCATATCAGTCGAGTTCCCCCTACCTGAAGCCTGAGTAATTGTGGTACAACGTTCGAGGTGGTAATAAAAACTTCAGTTTTCATCATAACATGATGAAACTGTGAAAGTTATTCAAAGAAAAAAATAAGTTTGCACAGAAAACTAAAAAATTTAAAAACAATAGTAAAATGTAAAGATGATCTTTCCACTTGGTATGATATTAATAAAGAAAACAATGTATGAATAGAGCACAACAAAACACATCTTCACTATAGCACTGCCAAACGAGAAGTGATAGTTCAGTAGAATCAAATAGAGGGAGTCACATGTATCAGGAGGGTGTGTTGCACTCCTGTTGATGGAGGGTTATCGCATGGTGATTTACATGTGAGATGCAGTTGAACCATGTTGTTCATGGCTATATGGAATGTGAATAAATTTTTGCATATAGAGAGCAGCACTGAACGAGAATAGCTATATCTGTGAATGAAGGTAAGGTACTGTATCATAATTATTTTTACTACAGAACAATGCATAAAGCTAATTAAATCCTCCAAATATATATGATTTTGTGTGTTTAGGATAAATGAGATATCATAAAAATGTCTCATTCCCACATCATTTCTATTCCATAACTATATTACTGAACAAATGTGGCCACAGTAGAATGAGCAAGTTACTGAAATTTATTTAGGGCCTGAAAATATTCCTGAGATCCTGGATGTGACAAAACCCTAGCATCATAAATTGATATTAAAATTTGATTAGTAACAAAAATAAATGAAAAGTAATTAATATTTTTTTTAAATCATAAGCACTTATGTCTTTCTGTTTTTAAGACTAAAAAAAAACTGAAAAGAATACATTGTCATGTCACCATATTTGTAATCACTAACTTTCTTCTTATGTGCATTATTACAGACAACAGTTCAACAATTTTAACAAGTAGAAAATTACTTTAGTTCCCAGAATGTCTTAATTACTTTTTAGTACCTAACTTTGTTACTTACCCTTTAGGCAAAACTATTGCTAAAACTCATTTGGATTAAAATAGAATTATAATGTAAAGCCCTGTATTTAACAAGCAACAATATAGTTATTTGGCAATACACACATTCAGCTAGTGGTCAACCTTTCATGTGAAGTACAAATTCTAAGTATGTTAAACATGTGAAGGTTTTCAAGAAGTACATCTTTTTTTATATGGTATAACAGGTCAAAAATATTATAAGAAAGTGTGGACAGTAACTAGCGAACCATGATACCAGATAGGGAAGATGTGGGCCTCAAGCCTCTGAGGGCAAGAATTCACAGCTCACAGATACGGTATGTTGAGAAAACTCCAATAGTTAGATAAAACGAACGACAAAATGAGCCAATGTCAACAAAAAACAGTTACCGGAATGATGATGAAAATCAAGGGTGGGATACTGGTAGTAAAGAGTTTGAGTTATAGGGTTTGTCTCTGTACACCCTGAGTTAATTGTCTTGGATGATTTTTGCCAAAGATATTAGATAAGGAACAGAAATAAGTTCTGTAAGGACTAATAACAAAGTGGACTTTGGTTACAGTCTGATAAAATGGTCCATTTGTTGCTGGAAGATCCCACTTCTACCAGCTGAGTTAAAAAACTACTTTTCAAAGTAGATCTGCTAAATTTCTTGAACAATTGGAAAAACACTAAGAATTGTGTATATAATTCTGTGTTTCTGATTCTAAACGGCACTTCTCTGACTTCATAAACTTCTCCATGTATGTTATTTCTGATCTAGTCTAACAATGTTTCACTTAAGGTTCATTAATGTATAGAGAGAGAGAGAGAGAAAAGTGAAGAACATCATGGTTTCGGAATAGTAGCAATAAGAAATGTCAACATAAGAAACTTTCAATTCTTTCTTGGTGTTTGAATATAATTCTCCAACATGAGACCTTCTTCTCAGATTATTCACAATGATAAATTGTGGGAGATAAGTATTTGTTTCACTTAACAATCAACTGATAAACTTTACATTTATGAACAGGTTGAAATAGTCAATTGGGTGAAATCCTGTTGTTTCAACTTTCATATCAGCATTTGAAGGTGTTTAATTTGCCTGCATCCAGGGTCAAATTAACTGTTCTTACAAGTTACCTTTGTATTCCTTATTTTGAGGTGCATTTCCTTCAGTATCCTCATCTTCTTGATCTTCATTCAATTTCACACCGTCTAAATCTTCTTTTGTTTCTTTTTCAGGGTAATCAACATTGTTAACATCATAACCACTTTTCCCTTGAAGGAAAACTTATCATTGTCACCCAAATCAGTTCAGTGATGCTCTCTCGTTATTCAACTCGTATTGTAAAGGAACATTATGTTTTCATTTCAATAAATAACCATTTTTCTATTGAATAATCACATGAATCAAATTCAAGATGGTCAAACAATCATTTACAAAATTGAGTAAATCTTTCTTTTGCAGATCACTTGTATAATTTGTATTTGTATAGAAAATACATATTCAGTATGGCCTCAAAGCATATCAGTGAAACATTAAAGGGTTAAAGGTTAATAGCACTATGAAAAGAATCGACAAATAAAATTTCTCAAGAACTCTCCCAATCTTGTTGTGTCTATTACATCTGACTGCAATCTATTCCAAAGGTTGACTATCATTTGAAAAATTATATTGTCTTGTCTACCTTGACAAATCTTAAATCTACATCCCCTAGTCCTACCACCCTTACCAGTAAATATACTAAAAAAAGATTATGCATAAATCCTAACTATTCCCATTATAATTTGGAACACATCAATTAGATACCCTCTAACACTTCTTTTCTCAAGAGTAAATAATTTTAAGGACCTTAACCTGTCCTGAAATGATAGCCCCTCCATTACAGGAATCATCTTAGTAAGGCCTCCTTTGAACCCCTTCCAACAACTTAATGTCCTTCTTAAAGTAAGTAGCTCTTAGTGAGGCGTAACAAAAATAAAAATGTACAAATAAATGATAACTTCCTTTGACTTGCATTCAGTACTTCTTTAGTTACAACACAAAATGCTATTTGCTTTCTCACTGGTCATACACTGCCCAGAAGGCTTAAGAGGCTGACAGACCAAAACACAAAGATATTTTTCTTCCAAAACACTACTGAGTTAGTTTCCATGAAAGTAGTAATTTGTTTATATTTAGGTAACCTACGTGCATTCCCTTGCATTTAACCTAATTAAATGCCATCTACCATTTATTTGCCAAATGATCCAAAACCCTTTGTAAAACAAGAGAATCCTCCTCATAGCCAACTACTGTGAACACTTTAGTCTAGACATCAACAATCCAATTTTTTTTACATGTAACAAATCTACAATGGGAAATTTATACAGTAATTGATTCACATATTTATGTTCCAAATCAAAATTGCTATTTCTTATAGAATATATGCATTTTCTATGGATACATGATTCAGTAATCTGTACATGGCTCTTCAAGAGACGGGCAATTGAGTCAAGCACGGTAGTGACCGTAAGTAAAGTGCATGAATCCTTGTGAATTATAGCGTGTGTTTAAGTTAAACTGACTGTGGAAATTAAGTGTATTGCAAAGTTGTATTGTGAAAGAATAAACTAGATTTATTTAAGAAAAACTTGTATCGCTGAAGTTTCTGGGAAAGAATTTCTACGGAAAATTAACAAACGAACAGAGACATAACAATACTTATAAACTATAACAAATATCAAGAAGTCAGTGTGATTTATGCTATAGTCATATCAAGTCACAGTGTTCCAAAACAAAGATACATACAAATACCAACATTGTTTATACAAGAAAGCAATACATGTTCTATGTATTAAATGATGACTTATGTGAAGATAATGAGATAACATGCCACTTTGATTATGCAATTCCTTTAATTACTGATGAAATATAAACTGATAACTGTATTGTACATACAGTTGCTCTTTCTTTAGCAGTTGCATGACAACCCTTACTAGTTTATACCCTTATATTAACTGAATGATAATGCATATTCAAACAATGGTATCCACTGTATTCAAATCGACTGACTGAACTATCCTATTTGGATATCTTGACATTCACAAGAAATACTTCATCAGAAATGTGCTTGGATTAATGAAATTCCACTGGACACTCAAAACTTTAATATCACCAAACTTGACCATTCCTTTATCAATATCATTAACATATATCAAAAAGAGTAGAAGTCTCAGCAAAGAGCCTCAACATACCCCACTTGCAACTCCAATTTAGTTTGATTGAAGTCAATTTATTACAACCCTATGTATCCTCTCTAACCAACTCTAAATTCATTGAGCTAACTTATTCCTCACACCCAAAGACATTTTTATTTATTATTAATCTTTTATGTAGCAATTTGTTAAAAGCCTTCCAAAAATCCAGGTATACCAAATCCACACCTTTACCTCCCTGTACATCAGCAGTGATATCTTTGCAGAATATCAAGATTAAGAGCAAATATGTTTCATACTAAAAGTCATATTGTTTTAAAAGATAGTACTTGTAAAGAAACAAGAAGGAGCACTGCTCAACAATGGAAACCCCAAAAAATATATCTTAAAATCTATCTTACTTAATGACAAATAGCTTTGAATGATATTTGCTGTATTTTCTGATTTTACAGGATATTGTTACGTCTCCGTTCGTTAGTTGATTTTCCGTAACTTCGTTCCCACGAAACTTTAGCGACACAAGTCCTTTC